TAGATGTGGTCCTGTTTGGATTTGGCGCGCCGGACCGCAGCGGTCCGTTTTAGCCAGCCTGCTTGCTGATGAAAGCTGTACTGGGCCGTGCATAACATTAGCGATCGTCTGCAACTCATCACGTTATTTTACCATGCCTTTCAATCGGAGTTACTGACCATTGTCTCTTGGCCGATCTCCTTTCGAATCGAGGTGTTCCCTCAAGTTTAAGATGACAATCATCAGACATATTAAAAAAGTGGAAAGACAGATCCAACATTATCACCCCCTGTCCTCCTGTCCACCCTATTACAAAGACGATCGCACAAACAACGCACATATTTGTGTTATGAAAATTGAGACTATTACGTTTTATCGCGCATTTCAAACTTGACCACGGACAACTAAATGCGTGCATGCCCATCGTTCATCCCTAGCGTAAATAGTTTGGTTAATGAAAATGTATTTTGCGTTATTTATTACCAACAATTCACAAAGCTGCCTAATGAAAACATGTTTTCCCAAAAGAAGCTCATGCATGAACTAATGATTATGAAGATTGGATCCTGGTCATGCCATGATACATACTTTCATGACCTAATTCACACAAAAATGTTTGAGTAATAACCGATGTCACGACGCTGAAGGCAATGACCACTAGAAACATGGATGAGAAAGCCAAAAAGCCAGTCTTCAATAAATTCTGCTGTCACTAGCGAAGCCAGCCACACATATGGAACGCAGAGCAAATCTAGGTCAGTCGAAAGCTTACATGCATGCAGCGACGTAGTGAGACCGTGCACCATTCGCTTCATGTCCTAGCCGAAGTCTCCCATCCCTCGGTGGGCCTCTGGCGGTGCCGTCGTCGCCGCTGACACCATCACTCTCGTGGAAGCGTGGCCAGCCCTCACAGACTCTGGCGACAGACTCACAGTACAGCCTACCGATACGCTCCCTCACAGTACAGCCTACCGATGGCCCATCCGGCCACGCGCAGGTGCCAGGCCGTTTTTTGCTCGTACCGCGGCGGCGTCGTTGCGAGTTTTTAGGGTCGGCTCGTGGACGGTACGTGTTAAGGAGAAGCGTGGTCATCGAGCGACGTGCCGGCCCAGCAAACCTGGCGGCAACGGAACGCATACGCGGTATTTCCAGGGGCTGATTAGCACGAGCTGTTTGGAACTTCGACCACTTTTAAGCCACCGGCTTTTTTGTCGTCCGTTGTGCGATGGTTCCATATCTTTTTTTTGTCTCCTGTTGTGCGATGGTTCCATATCTTTTTTGTCGCCCGTTGTGCGATGGTCCCGTATGTTTTTTGTCGCCCGTCGTCCGATGGTTCCATATCTTTTACAACTTTATTGAGGCATTCTTACAAGATACGAGTCGCACGAAGTGTGATGCGAGCTTCTTTTTTGGTAATCCAAGACGGGCAGGTCAGGTCCCCGAGGGAAGGTGCCTGTGCTAATTTGCTGGAGGGACTGTTCGTTAAACTGGCTCAATTTGTAGCTACAGACAATGACGTTTTGGCTCACCATGTCCGGTCTGAAGCAACGAAAGAGACGACGGACTCCGACAAAAGTACAAAACACAAATACGATCCGAACGTCCAGGCTAACGCACGTGGACGTACCATTGGGAGCTATGCGGAATGCTAGAGGATGTCACCGCTGCATTTGCCACCGCCTTAGCTCTATGGTCGGGAGAGGTTTGTTTCGTCATCGCCACAAGCTAGCGAGTGTCCGCCGAACAGAGAGGTAACTCCCCTGTCTGGCGAAAAGGAAATAAATATACACGCACGAGTTGTCACCAGCAGCCGGTAAACAGGCCAGTCATCGCGGCAGCGGCGGCTCGTCGGGCCCGCCGGCTGGTGCTGCCCAGCGGTTATATCAGGCTGGTGGGAGGCGGCCAGCTGTAGAGCTGTGATTGTCGGAGCCGTTTCTTCTGGCGCCGCTGTTATTTGTGGAGACGCGCTCTGGCGCGCTGTCACCTTACCGATTTACATCGCTGCCTGGCAGACGGGAAGCCGGGCCGGTCTGTCACGTAATGTGCTGCCAGCGGACACATCCCAATAGAACAAGTGTTCTCGTTCAGCCAGCGCCGCCCACAGCAGTCCGCACTTTTTTGGCACCAGCAAAAGTGGTTGCTATTACTCCGACGGGTAATGAGCACGACGCCACGCCCTCTGAAAGACAGACACGATGCTTAATTAAGTCCTTTTTAAGAGATCAGTCGTTGGCGCTCTGTGAATTTGCGACCGATGAAAATGCGAGTGTCAAGCACACTCGGGAAAGTGCATATTGTTACTCTTCAAAGATGATATTTGTGCTCGCTGTTCAGTGCATGCACACTGCGCTGAGAAGACAGCCCCAGCGCCTCCTGCTTGATAGCCGGGTCTGCGTCAGCTGTGATCTGACACTGCCTGGGGTCAGGTGACCGCCCTCTGACCTCGCGTGCGGGCCGTCACGGTCTCTGACGAGCCGATAGTCTGCTCGGTCAGCCCGGTCTTGCTTCGGTTCGGTTCTAACCCGGCCGGGTGGGTCGCCCATCTCGCCCCCAGCCCTGTCCACGACCAGTCAAATCATGTCTGAGGGTCGGAAGTGACGGGAATCCAGGGGGTTTGGGTCGTTCAAAACTCTTGGTATGTTCATGAAGGTCTAATGTAATTAAAATGTCCATGTTTGCATTTACGCGGCCGTATATCAACACCTTTGCGAATGCCAAATTTGTAAAGGAAGTGAAACAGTAATTTTGCTGCTTATTTATAGTTTTGAAAATATACATTGGGTAGATATTATGCCAGAACTTATACAGCTGCAATCCCTACCATAAAGCAGAGCCAAGATGCGACCACGCATGCAAAGCAGAATGTGACATTCTTGACGCAGCGTTTTATATGTTTGACACACGTTGAAATGTAGCACACCGAGCACTGCAATGCACAGCAAGTGGAGATGTCACCGTGATGTTTCATTTTTAGATCCTCCTGCTAACAGGGGAGCAGCTTTTGGTGCATAATTTTCGTCTCTGATGTCCAATTTTATTTGTGTTCTCTGTATAAGGTCAATGACAGTTTTGAAACCATGCGATTTCCAGCCAAGGTTCTTACTTTCACCGTTTATTTTACAACTGTCCAAGAGGGCCAATATTGATGCAAATAAACACCTCACCAGTCCTCTGCTGTACCCGTCTGGGAAAGCGTGCTGGTTTATTTTCCGATCGTTCCAGCTGGGCTCAGTACGTTTGGGAAAACACAGCTCAGCACCAAGGTCAACAGCGAGCAATGACCAGACGTCGAGCGCCGCCGGCTGCCGCCCAGAAACGCGGTCCTGCTTTGGAGGAGTCGGCTCAGCCATCGGCTGGCTGGCAGCCCCCGCCACGGCCCCGAGCCCCTGTCGACGCCCTTGGCCACACCCCCGCGATGCCCCTGCGGGCGCTCTTGCGATGTCCCTGCCGGCGCCCCTGCGGCGCCCTGGTCTCGCCCCTGGCGGCCGGTGGCACGGCGTTGGACCCTCTCCAGCCAGACGACGGCGGAGATGATTCACACGACATTCACCCAGTTGGCGGCGACGGCACGACCGAGTCCGGCCCCTGTGACCTCGGTCTGGTCACGGGCCCTCTGTTCCGGTGCGTGACCATACGAGCCGCCGCTGCAACCGGCGGGGGAAGGGGAGGGGCCACAACCCTCCCACGGCGGGCGGACGGAACGCTGCAGTGGTGCACACTGCCGGCGGACAGCTGCCTGTGATGGGGCTTCGTGGCTCTGTCTTACAATGTGTGCATGGGACTGAACCGTCACAGACGTCTTTACTGATTGGACTGCCGAAGACGTCAGCACCGGAGTGGACCGTCACAGGCGTCTTTACTGTATTGGACTGCCGAAGACGTCAGCACCGGACTGGACCGTCACAGGCGTCTTCACTGATTGGACTGCCGAAGTCCAGTGCGGGCTCGGCCCCCAACCGATGGGCTGACGCGGCCCGTCAGGGCGACAGCCCGCCGGCCCTGTGTCCATCTGCGGGCAGCAGGACCTGGCTTCGGCCGCCGGTGACCGGCGCCGCCTGCAGAGATCCAGCCCAGGTCATTGGTCGAGAGCCAGTAATCAAGCCGAGGGCTGCTCAAGCTGAACCGGCGGAAATAATTGGCAGACTGGCATGCAAATGGTCGATCAGATTAGCGCGGCTCCTTTATAAGCGTGGCTGTCGTCGTTCAGGCATATTACGTGGGAATATCATAAAGACGGCGGTTGAGTGGGAGGGAAGGGGGGGGGGGGAAGTCATGAGCTGCGATAGCCGGGCTGATTTGGATTTCGATGGCTGCTCTTCACGTGTCAGAATAGTACTAATGTGGACGTTTGCCACGGGAAGCATGTAAAATGACCCGGAGAAGCGTGCAGTTGCCACGCAATCAAAGGTCCCGCTCACGTCCCGGCTAAAGGCTTGTGATGGCGCGTGCGTAGTATGCATCTCGTGGCCTTCCTTGGATTAGTTCTAAAGCGTATTCCAGCGGCTGGCTGGTGGAACGGCAGACCAGTGGCCCCAATTAATGGTTGCATACCGCTTCGAACGAGCGGGGTGGTACAGGATTGACAGCTCTAATCAGCGCTTTGCAATCAGGATTTTCCTTCCTAGTCAGATTGAGCGGAAGGACACAGGCAAAAGTCAAGTGATGCCAGGTTGCGTCATACCAGAATGGGTCTTTGACCTCAGAGACCAATGTGGCCGCTGCTGGACCGAGACGCGTCTCGGTTTCAGTGTGCAACGTGGGGGGAATGCGGCGACAGATGCCTGTGAAAAAGATGGTCGTTACCTGCGATTGATGCTGGGTCAGTCCAACTGACATGAATCAAACCTGACCTGTGTCTGCCACCTAGAACTGACCTAGAGATTCTGTCAAAGTCTCTTCGCGCGGAACGGTCTGACGTGTCTTCTCCCTTGGATTTAAGTAACATACCGCGCACTCAAGAGAGTGGTCCCTACTGAGGATGTCACCTAACCTGAACTGACCTGACCTGACCTCTTCCACAGAGAACAGACTGCGCTGTGACTGTCGGCTGGCCTGGTTGATGAAGCTGCGCTCGCGGACGGCCTCATCGCACGTGAAGGCTGCCCTCGACTCTGCCACGTGTCAGATGGAGCCCGGTGCCAGCTCCACTCCGGACCCGGCTCCAAGCGACGGCCTCCGAGGTGCCGGGCCGGCTCTTCAGCTCACCGATCTCAAGGTAAGCGCGTCCCAACTACCTATCAGTCCATGACAGCGATGACAGAACTGTGGGCAACGCTCTGAGAAGAACTGACAGCATTCATG